AATTTTAGGAAACATTGCAATTTAGTCCCCAACATTTATCAGTGATGCATATTTGTCCCCAATCTAATATTAAACATTTTAATCCCCTAACATATTATTACCGGTATAATTAGTTCCCTCTTCCACTTTCTAGCGAATTTGGTATAAAAATTTCACATAAAATGCACATGGTGATTTTTTATGGGAATAATTGTTTCACAACTATTATTTCTTTTTTTTAATAACTAGTCAGAGTTGAACGTCCGTTGCACATTATTTTAAAATATTTTATAATTGCTATGAAAATAATATTTAACTCTCTATTTACACTTTTGATCGAAATATGAGAGAAATGCAAATTCTTAAAAATAAATGTTAATTATTATACATGCACGTAAATAGTAAAATGCATACTTGAATGTGAATATTGAATTTCAACTAAATTCATAACTGAAAATGAATATCAAATACGATAGATGAATTAACGTGAATGTTAATTAATTATAATTTCAACGTGACAATGAATGTTAAATTATTCATAAAATGAATATAAATTAATTTTCAATTAAGCGAACTTGAATACTAATTAGCATACATGAATGTGAATATTAAACTGCATTCTTGAATGTGATATTAATTAAATGAATGTGAATGTTAATTAATTTAGAATTGATAACGGAGACATGAACGTGAATCAAAATGATATGAATTTTGCCATTTTTGCTACTCTTTTCCCAAATCCTTTAAATTGGATTTTGATTATATGCCTATTTCTCTATTGCCTAGTGATTGTAACATTTTATTTTGAGTAATTAGGTCAATGGCCGGGGTGTCCTGAAATTAGTGCTCGCCCCTCTTTGAATGCTGGGCTAGGCCACCTCGAATGGCGTGAGCCGCATGCAGGGAGACCCGCACGTACGATTTTTAGGGAGAACTGGTCGAAAGACAAATCTGCACCCACCCGACTAGGAGGACCAAAGTTATCTTCTTACAATAATAATTACTCAAATTTCTAATTATTACGCTGATGATTACTTGATAAAAAAAGTTAACATTAACCATTAAGTAATAACATGTGACCAAACATTATTATTTACAATGTCAAATCAATAAAAATCGTAGTTAAAAGGCAAAATGTGAATTTAATATACAATTTAAACTAAAAATGTGACCAAAATTAAAGCAGCATTACTTTTCTCGTCTGAAAGTGTTTAATCACCAATTCCTTACTTTCCAATATTGCTAGTCGACAAATAAATAACATCATTTGATGATACACAATCACTTAGTGATGTCCTATAGAATTTAAAGTTAATTTCGTGTAATAGTTAAAAACTCGAGTAATTATTAATGTTAAAAACTAATTTTATCGACCATTGATGTAATTACTCAAAACTTCAGCGATCATTAGTGTAATTAACCCTTTTAGTTCAATAAGAAATGTTACTTGAGAGTTATTAGAAGAAAAAAAGAAAAGAAAAGAAAAGAAGTGTTGATTGATTTCAATAAAATTCAAAAAAAAAAAAGAAGAGAGAGAGAGAGAAAGAGAGAGAGACCAACTTATATTGTTGGGTTGAGTTTCAATTCAAAAGGCACACCAACGCGTTAATGTGACGAAAGTGTATTGATATATTTAGTATATTAAAGTAGACAAGTACTAATATTTTTTAATATTGTCTAACTTTGTTCAAAGTATCCAACAATTCTTACCTCTGGAAACTACAATACGTCTGAATTGGCATTTGGTTTACGTATCTTATTCATTCTTACTCACATGCTTAGTTTGGTAATCAATACATGACATGAGTGGACAATAGAAAAAGATGTTATCTCCTTAGTCTTATCTAGCATCGTCTTATCCTAATATTGTGCACATATATAGCTATTAAATACTCCGAGTATGGGACCACTTCGACTACTAGCCCAATCCTTGAGTTCAATATTGATCCCGACCCTAAAGTTGTGATTGGATAACAGTGGCAGAGGTGGGTCCAGTCGGGTCCAAATGAGATTTGCGAATTTTTTTCTATTAATATTTCATTTTATACTTTTTATTTTAATATTATTTCTTTTGTTTTTTCGTATTTAAAGTAGACCCACTGGGCACTGGATCTGAGTCCTGACTCCACCACTGAATACCATTTATCTAGTGCCTAGCCCAGCCAACATAATGGATGAAACTCGGGTGATAGATTTTGGTGCTGCCTATCATTTGTCAGCAGATACAAACATGTTCAAGACTCATAGAGCCATCAATGGACAAGAATTTGTGGTTGCTGACAATCCTTCCACTAGGTAAAGGCCATAGAAAACCCAGCATTCCCTGTGTCCATGATTAGCTTCCACTGAAGAGTATTTGCACAACATGAACCACCTTAGGAAGTAAAAAAGATGAAAAGATCTCAATAGTTTTCTCATCGCCCATACAGTGTTAACCATTTTTCTTTCCTTAATCGTGTCTAGTCAAACATACCAAGCATGTCCTCAGAAGACGAGTATAATTTTTGAAATCAGAATAGTCAACAATGTTAAAGAAATTAAGTTTTTGCATATGGAAAATTCAGATACTCAATAACAATGCTCTCAATATCAAGAAACAACAATACACTAAACATCTTCAAACCAAAAAAATCCTAACAAATAGTCATAATATCAGTAGCCGATTTCCGTTGGGAATGTCAGCAAGTACCACGTCGTCACTGGACCCAAAAACAAAAAAAAAAAAGGTCTCGGGCTCTTGTCCGAATAAATCTAAGAACAAAAAGGTTATCTACAACCTCCTATCCCAAGAAAGAATAGGTTAAAAGGACAGATAAATTGGGGAAGGGAGGACCACCTCCCCACTAGGTAGTATATACACTAACATTAAAATCACATTTACTTATATTATATATACAAAGATTGTGCAGCATTGTTGAATATACATGTCTATAATTGTATATGTTAATCATTAACTCAATTTTGAATGCAAAGAGAACAACCCAAGTCTTTGCATATGGAAAACTCAGATACTCAATAACAATGCTCTCAATATCAAGAAACAACAATACACTAAACATCTTCAAACCAAAAAATCCTAACAAATAGCAATAATATCAGTACCTGATTTCCATTTGGAATGGCAGTCAGTACCACATCGTTACTGGACCAAAAAAAAAAAAAAGAGGTCTCGGGCTCTTGTCCGAATAAAATCTAAGATGTGACCGCATCCGGATTAACCCAGGTGGCAAACCAGGGGGGAAGGCCGCCACTCCTCAGGATTAGTCTGACGAAGCTCGGACACCTGAGTCATAAAAAACAAAAAAAAAGAACAGGTTAAAAGGATAGATAAATTGGGGAAGGGAGGACCACCTCCCCCACTAGGTAGTATTTACACGTACATTAAAATCACATTTACTTGAATTATATATACAAAGATTGTGCCGCATTGTTGAATATACATGTCTATAATTATATATGTTAATCATTAACTCATGATAATACAATGGAAGGCAAAGAATTTGGTTGAGGGGACCATGAACTACATTATGATGCTTTTTCTCATTATTCAAAATTATATAGTAAATTCAATTCCATGCTTATTTCCGATTTCTGATTTCTGCATTGCAAATTAAGAAACATTAATGAAGTTAATGTATACACAAAAGCAACTTACTTTCTGTTTGTAAATTCATGTCAAGTGAGCTCTATAGCATATCTTCAATGGCATCCTCAATGCTGAGATTCAAAGAACTCAAAGCTTGTCCGACTCCTTCGTGTTCATCATCTCGATCATTCTTTACAAAATGTTACAATTTTCTCATGTGCCTCTGTACTAGCAACTGCTGATCAAATCTAATCAGTATTGAAACTTACCTATATCTTATTGCAATAATCTATTTAGTATCTTCGTAAGTTTATCATTCTAAATATAAGAGCCAAATGCTTTATAAATGTAGCGTCTCTAAATTAAGTCATCCAATACAGATTTCATTGTCTATAATTCTCCTGCAACAAATTCATGTCAAGTGAGCTATAGAACACATCTTCAATGGCATCCTCAATCCTGAGATTCAAAGAACTCGAACCTTCTTCGGCTCCTTCACATTCATCATTCTTGACAAAATGTTTCAACTTTCTCATACACAGTCTCAACTGATCTTCCAAAAGATTATTTTCTGATGAATGACTCAGTAGAAGCCACTTCAATGATCTAATCACTTCTTGATCATGGAGTTGCATCTGTTCAGCCAATGTACGGTACTGATTAGCTTCCATTTCGATCAAACTCTTCTCATTCTGAAGTCTCAAAATCATAGCCATTGTTTCTTCAGCTGCAGTGGCAGAAGCCGCCCTTTCCTTCTCAAGTTCTGCATAAGCTACACTTGCTCTCTTCCTCTCAATCTTTACAAGTTTCTTCAATTCTAAAATATCAAATTCTTCAACTCTATCACTATACTCTTTTTCATCAGCATCACATTCTTCATCATAATCTGGAATTACTTCTTCATCAACAACAGTAAATATATTCAAATTTTCTGTATTTTCCTCCATTTTATCGACTATGGGTGCATTAGTATTCCTTGACCCACATTTGCATTTTGAACTGACATTCTCGTCAAAATCACTCTGTGAACAAAACCCACCTAATTTTCCTCTTAAATCACCAAGAAACCGGACCGAACCGGTAAAAAAGTAAAACCAATCAAATTGCAAGAGCTTTAACCCAAAACCCAACAACAAGAACAGCCCCGAAAATTCAAAAACTTGCTTCAAAGTCCCAAACACAAAAACCCTAAACACAAAATCACTCAATTGCTTCAAACGTGTGATAAAATCCATCAAAATGCACCCCCTCAACAGGCACTCCGGAAAATTCTTAAATTTCTTATGAAACTCCAGAACATAACATACGATGAGGAACAAATACAAACGACCCAGAATCTGCATGTGGTTATTTTGAGTACAGATTCTTCAATACCAGTGTTCCAATAATTCAGGCACAACCATATACACAAAACACAAAAAGGGATTCACTTATTCACCTACCCAAATGGAGAAAGTGTAAATCTAGTCGGAGAATGTAGCAAAGCCGTATAGAATAATACCTCCACCGACTGAACGAGATGGAGAGAGAGAACGGATTATCGGGAAGAGAGAAATAAGGCGCAAATATTGAGGCTAGAGATATTATCAGATGCAGCAACGGATTCTTACCAAATTTGATCATTTGTAACGTCAATAAATGCTAATTATTGGTAATTTACGGACAGTAATATTTGAGAATCTTGTTGAATTATATACATATTGTTTGCAATTGCTTGTAAGAAACCAAATATTAGCCTAGTTTGATATCGACTAAAATCTAAATTTTAATGTAAGTCAAAGTCAATAATTTATTTTATTCACATATTTTATGGATCCCACAACTTTTCAATTACGTATTTCATCAACTTATATAGAGATGACAATTTTTTCCGTCCCACTCTGTGGGGCCCCGTCTCGAATGGGGCCAAAAAACCCCCCCCCCCCCCTCCCCCCCCGCGAACGGGTTGGTGTGGCTAGGCAGGGTGGGGAACCTGTCTCGTGAAGAATTTAAAAAAAAAGTGTTTTGAACATTGTTTGTTTCGAATGCTTGCATTGGATATTGACATAGTTAGTTTGAATATTATTTGCTTTAGATTTTAAAATTTAAAATTTGTATTTTAATTGAAAATTAAAAAAAAAAACTAACAAACGAGGTAGGAAATGGGCCTGCCCGCCCCGACCAGTTGTCATTACTAAAATTATATCAAAATTTACTAAAAATATTATTTTAATCCCTACAAAAAATTGGCTAAATATGGACTAATGTTTGATTTGTAATACTGAGTTGAATTGGATTGGATTAGATTGTATCATACAATTTTTTTTAAATAATTGTTAGATTCAATTCAATATTTTACTAAGCATGTGTAGATGAGGCAAAAAGGTGGAGTGGCTCGTCGTCGCTTGGCCCATGAGCAGTTGGGGGTTGTCGGGGCTTAATTTTTGTTGAGGGCTTATTCGGTGGCAATTCACCTATGAAGTTACAATCTCAATTTAACAATGAATTTTTCAATTTCAGCAACATCTACATTCACGATGATTTGTCGAATTTGGACGTCGATAATGCTTATGAAAGTAGAAATTCTGTATGCAAGAGAGAAGCTAAAGGATAAAAAAGCTGCATAGTGTTGAGAATACTTTATATTGATTTCAACGGGTTGTACAATCGACGGGTTCAAAAGTGTAAAATAGTGTGTAAATACTGTCAAACACGATTCACATGATAAAATGATATTGTACTACCCACTTCAACCGTCACTACCTCAAATGTGTGGCCAAACATGGGCTTGTTTATGGATCTCAAACACAACTGCAATTTGATACTCCTTCTTTCAATACTAGTTCTACAACATTTAGCACATAGATGTATTTGGAGAAAAATAATCCTCAAGGAATGGTAAAGTTCATTGCTGGTGCTGAGTTGCCTCTAAGCATAGTGGACAATGAATATTTTCACGGAATTCGTGAAAGAGTATCTCCAACCAATGTATATTAGGGTAAGTAGAAACAATCTTTGTTCTGATACCATAGATTATTTAATTAAAACCAAAAAAACATTTGATTCATGATTTACATAAATATTTTTATTTTATATTATTTACTTCGGATTTATGGAAATGCATTAATAAAAAAATGCTATATAGCTGCAACAGCACACTACAGATTGTGCATAAAAAAATAATTTGTTTTAAGATAATAGAGTACTCTCATAATGC